AGACGAAAGAAAATCACAATATTGATACATATTTTTTAATCCTATCTAAGCTTTCGGCTTACATAAGCCATTATCAAAGATAAAAATTACATTACAATATATTAAGCAATACACGGACAAATCAGTGATGTTAGTCTGTTTTTGTTTACCTAACCTGAACAAAATAAACTATGAAATCTCCACAAATATTCTTAAATGCCTATAATTAGTAACAGAGGCCATTGGTTTATACCAACAGCTTCCCATACTTAATACTTCTCGTTTTCACTCTCGCGTGGTCATGTGTGACGTCATGAGCTGCGCTGCGATTTTCGCTTCCAGCGTCTTATATGCACGTGTCTGTCGTTGCTTGGAAATCTTAATAAACAAAAGAATTTACATAAAATAAATAGACAACACTTGTCAATATTATTTAATGAAACATGCATCAATATATATATATATATATATATATATATATATATATATATATATATATATAAAATTAATATATAAAGTTAATCATTATTTAAATATGACGGATAAGGTAAATTATATTAATTTTATTATTTAGTTTTTCAGCGTTCTTACATGATTCCCTTTGGTGGGAGTAACACAAAAACATCTAAAATTTTCTGCATATCCGGACGCTTTCGGGAATTCTTTTAGCTATTATCATTATTCTTATTTTTTATTTTATTTTTTTTAACTAAATATATATGTTCCAGACATGGGCAACAAATTTGGGCCGTATTCATGTTCGCTTTTACTTTTTAATTATTAGGCCTTCTACAATGTGCTGACCGTGTTCGGAAAATAAAACATTCCGGCAACTGCATAAAAAAAACTTACGCATTTAGTTAAAAATGAAAAAAATCGCCCTTGATAATGGCTAAAGGAATAGCCGAAAGCGCTAGGATATGCAGAACTTTTGGAAAATTTTTACATTCTTTGTGTCCAGAAAAGAAAACATTTGTACAAATACAAGAATAATTAAATAAAAGTCCAATCGCAGTAACTGTCAGTCGTCTTTAACGAAACATGTATAAACCAAGGATTGCTGCCTAAATGCACAATATAAAGACCTTTCGTGACGCAAAATGTTTTATGTTTTTAAACCGAACTATTTTCCCTACATGAATCAATGTAACATGGATTAATCCATTCCTGGATCCCAGGTGGTTATTTTCTAAGCGTAGCTTAGATGTGGCACTAGGCCGAAAGTATGGGTACTTAATTAAGGTCGAATTCAATATTCATTCGTGACTAATCTAGCGAGACAAGTTTGTTAACCATTAGACCGCATCGAAGTGCCGAAATGATTTTCTAACTTAGCTTAGATGTGGCACAAGGCCGAAAATGTTGAGCAGCCGATGAGGATCCAAGTCAATATTCAGTCGTAAATGATCTTACTAACCATTACACCACGCTGAAGTACACACTTGGGTCCCAGATGATTGCTTGTTTAAGCGTTCGCAACAGAACGAGTTCTTCCACAAAACCAATGAAAATCTTTAAATCTATCAACAACAAAAAAGATAAAACAATGAATAACAGATAAAATCGAGACGAAAATTTACTTTAATTTGCCTTTACTAAAGAGAGTTGAAAGCGTAAGTGAAAGGTAATGGGAAGTGGGCGAAGTTATAGTTTGGAAGGAGAGTCCCTTTTCAATGAAAAAAACAAAAAAGACCCCCCCCCAAAAAAGAAAAAACACCAAGTAACTGCCTATCTGGGGTTTCTTTATCTATTTTCTGTTTCTTAGCACAAACTAACTCTGCTTGAGACTCACCTGACCTCTGTCTTTCTAAAAATTTGTCCAATGAGATTTGTTTTTTTTTTCCACGTTTCTAAAGTGAGACATGGAATTATCAGTAAATCTTCACCACGGCTGACGTTTTCCCGCCGATACTCCCAGCTTCTTTCCTCATAGTGTTGTTGTCTTGCATTTTCGTCGTCCGAGACGTTGTTTTTTCGGAAAATTTGTCCGAGAAGTAATTTGTTCGTAAATGAGGTAAGATGACCCAAGGAATCACTATATATATTATATTATTTAATATATATATATATATATATATATATATATATATATATATTATAAATTAATTGATTTAAAAATATTTTTTTTTGCTACACAGTTCTAACCATGTTTCAAAAAATGAAAGCTAAAAGCCCCGGATTTAATTTTGTAATTAAATTAAAGACATTAATTCCATTTCATCCTCAAGCAAATTTTGGAGTAACTTTTAAAATTACTGGGTTTTAAAGACACAGCTAAAATCATAATTCATGTTTCCAAGGTTACAGATGAATCAATTTACTAGACGAAAATTGACAAACCTCGTCTTTTTAAATTGATTCATCTATATACGTTTTTGTATGAATCATTTATCGATGATTTGCCTTAACCGATTGAGCCATAGAGGATATTCGATTAGCAAGATCGATTTTATTGCTTTTAAACTACAATCTACCTGAATTTGTTTCACGTACATTATGAACAGTGCATGACGAATTGTTCATGTTCTTTTCACGGAAAATTTTATTATATCTGAATTCTCCAAAAAAAATTGCACTACACACACACACACACACACACACATATATATATATATATATATATATATATATATATATATATATATATATATATATAAAGATTTTTTTATGTTTATACATTTTTTTATAGTTCCATTATATAAATAAATTAAATTTCTGTTTATAATAAACAGTATTTATAACATTTTAAAAGCCTGAATATCGAGAAAAATTTTCACGGAAAATATTAGCCCTCCGGTAAATGTTATTACTGTTTATTTAAAAGACATTTAAAATATTCGTATCTTAAAAAATGTATAAACAGGAAAAAATATCTATAAAAATAATTGTATTAATTTTGTTCATTTCATAATGTGTGACGTCATTTGTTTACATTTGGATACGCATTGAGCAGATTTAAATGTACGTGAGAGATTCATGGAAGATTGAAATTTAAATTTAATAGTAAATTCGGATTTGCTAACCGAACGATATTCTGTGGCTCGATCAGTTATTTAGCACGTAGGCTAAATGATTTTTGTATAGGATACCAGAGTTCGATTCCTGTCGGAGAACGAATAATTTCTATGAAAATTTCTCGGACATTCAGGCCGGTAAATGTTATAAATACTGTTTATTATGAAACATGGCATTTACTTAAATATTTGTATTTATAAATATTCAAATTGTATTATACAATTCAAATTTCAAATTGTCCTCAATCTTTCATCAGAAATAACTGTTTGTTACAAATAAATTCAATTAAAATTACTGTTTGTTAGCAAGTAGCGTCCTTCGCGAGACGCGGACGTCACGTGATATGGAACGTCACTGTTCGGATATTCCTAACTTAAATCTAAATGATTGCGTCTATATGAAAACTATATTCTTTTTGGAGTGTTTACTTCAATGTTTAACTTTTACATTTATATTTACATTCGCTCTATTTTTAAACATGTTATATAGCGACTTAAATATATATATATATATATATATATATATATATATATATATATATATATTAAAACTTTATTTCAATCCTTCATGAGCTTCCGACCATCAATTAATGAAAATATGCCACTTTGTTGAAATTTCATCACGATTCTTCTGTTAAGGATATTGCTCAAAGTATAGTCCAATGATGTTATGAAAACCTGAGAGAATTATATAATATATCTTTAATCATTTCTAACATGCAACGGTTCAAAGGTTAAGTAATTTAATGGACAATTTTGAACAATTTTGTTATTATTTAGTTTTATATATATATATATATATATATATATATATATATATATATATATAAATATATATATATATATATATATACCGCTAAAAAAACAAACAGCAAATCAACATATATTTAACCTGATCCAAAAGTATCGGGACTGGCGATGAAATAAAAAACTACATCTCATAACAATTCGCTATTTAATCTCCTTCGAAGTAATCCTCTTCTAAATTCAAACACTTTATCCATCGTCGTTTTCCTTGATGGTAGAATTCCTGGAACTTCTTTTTGGGGGATAGCGGGAGGTTGACTCGTCACATTGTCTTGGATTTCCTAGAGGTCTTGAAACCTAGTTCCTTTCAAGTCGGATTTGATTTTGAGAAAGAGGAAAAAGTTGCGCTGGGCGAGATCCGGAGATTATGATTGTTGTCGGGCGTAGGGAATGCTGTACTGAGCCAAAAAATCTGCTGCACAAGCCGCAGTCATTGATGGGATCTATGCGGTGTAGTTTGGTGAAACGACCACACTCTACACACTTTCCTTCCAAGCAAAAATATAAACAAAGAATTTTTTGGAGAACGTTAAAGGGTTGATAGGTTTGAGCATGCGTGACAGAGTTCATGGTCAATCTGTCCCAAGCGGCTTCACTCTGCATACTTTAGTTCCGTTTCCATAGCAACAGTCATGATAATTATTTGATCAGTCGTCGTATATGCTTGCTTTCATCCACAAGAATTCCAAAGATGATACAGAGACGATGGAGGACGCGTATTTCGAAGATATCACCAAACGAATTTGTAGCATTAGATTAATCTTAAAAAACACCTGTTGGAGAATCATGGCTTGATTGTTCATTCTTAAAATTATTGTATACTTGACGTTCATTTTTCATCAACAGAAACAAAAAAAGTGAATAAGAGATATATATATTTTGTCAAACGACACACCCAGTCCTCGAGTATATGCAGACACGATCAGGCGTGCATATGACTGCAAAGACACCTGCACGAAAACGCAATCAAAGAAAGCTAAAAGGAATTTACTCGCACACAAATCCATGTATACATGCACACTACAATTGCGGACACGATCCACACTGGACATCCGCTTCAATGTTGCCTTGTGCCAGACAAGGATTGCTTAATAAAACAACAACTTAAACCTAAATGAAAATAGGCGCACACATAGATAAAAAAAAAGGATAGACAATAACAAAAAACTTTGAGAGACAACTAAAATAATAAAAAAAGGTTACAGCCATATCAGGTTGAAACACCAGTTTACGTACGATCACCGAAGTTAAGCAACGTTGAACCTGTTTGCTACCTACATGAGTGACCGCTTGCGAATAACAAGTGCTGTAAGTTTGGGTGTGCGGGTGGTGTAATGGATAGTGGCTCAAAAGTTTTAATCGGAAAGCATGTGAAAAATTTCTGTTGGCTCCGTTATAATACCCTTGTGAACTGCAGGAATCCATCTCTCCACCCGCACAACACTCCAACCCATAGTTTAATTAGTAGGACTGAATCACTAAATCATTATTATCTCCACACGAAATTAAAAAAATCGCAAAATATTTCCTGGTTTTAGATAACCTGCAATGGGTTGATAAACAGTAAAAAAAAAAACGAATCAATCAGACAGAGTGGGATAGATGAATATGTAGAAAGACAGACATGAAGATAGATAGATAGATAGATAGATAGATAGATAGATATGAATAGACCGGGATAGAAAGATAAGGATTTATTAACGTTGTATAATTTAATTTTTTATTTAGACCTTTATGATAGATAGATAGAAGATAGATAGATAGATAGATTCCAATAATAAAGAGACCATAGTTAGAAGAAACTTTGTGGAATAAACTAGACATTAAATAGATATATATTTATATAGATGTTTAAAAAATATTTAACAAAGTGAAAAAATTACAACAGGTATAAATATTCGAGAAATTTAAAATAGATCCAAAATCATTTCGACCGGGATAGGTAGATAAAAATATTTAGACTGATACAGATAAGAAAAGATAAAATAGATTTAAATTTTGAATAAACTGAGATTTGGTTTTTTTCTTAAACCTCCTAAACACTCAAATGTATATCACATGTAATTCCAAATCATTTCAATGCAAATACAGACTTAAAGAGTGGATAAATGAAAAAAAAAATTTTGTACAAATTTGTGGTGAAAAAAAATTCAAATATATAAAAAATTATGAAGGTTTTAAACTGTGTAAAAATTATTGTAATCATTTTATACATGGCATCGAGTTCCATTTTGGGATGATCAGAACAGCAAACAATGAATCATGATAAACTAAATAATAAAATGTTTGTCTACATGATATATATTATAAAGATATGGCATATATATAATGGATTTATATATTATAATAAATAAAGTAGTTCAAAAAAATTTTTAAAGTCAATCAAAATGGTGAGCACTCTAAGAGTTTAAACAAAGACAATTTTTCCATGATAATAAAGACAATCAAACATTATATACGATAAAATATTTCTGGTAAGTAAATAAATCAAAGAGAATCTATAAACATATAGAAATCTACCATTTGTCAATCGAAGTTTGTTTATCTGGTTTGGTTACTAAAGGATATCTCAAAATTCTAATTTATCTGAAATGTATATAAATGAGTTAATATTTATACAGAGCAAAAATATTATTAATTAGTATTTATAAATTATTTTTGTATTACATTGCATATAAAAAAAAACTGAGATTTTTGATAAAATCAAAAAACTGAAAATATCATTTGTCAAAACGTATACTAGTCACTTTTATCGTATTTTTGGCATATATATATATAAATATATATATATTTAAATATATATATTGAATATATAAATATCTGGTGAAGTTGTAATTTGAAAAGTTTTGATACAGGTTGAAAATAATCCATCCTTTGGCATCGAACCCTCGTCCTCAGCATCGACTGATCGTAAACATTTTTAAAGATTTATAAATCACAAATTAACGTCGATTTTAGAAATAGAGATGACAAGGTTTCGAGATGAAAAAATGAGACCTATGTGAACTTGCATCAAAAATCAATTCTGAAATCTAATGAAAGGAAATTATTTGACGATCATCTATTCGTAAAAATGGCTTCTGTCAGGAATCCATCTTGCAACATTTATAAATCAAAACCATTTGTCCATGCATTGAATATCGCTGCCGTATCTGGTCTGCCAGTATTCCTGCTGTACATCTCGAGATTCTTGAGAAAAATCCAAAGAAGATTCTGAAATATAATCAGAGGAGTTGAAGTGGCAGATCGAATCAACTTCAGTCACTTTCTCATCGACGGGACTGTGGCTTTTTCTTTTTTTTCTACAAATATTTATAAATCTACCATTTGTTGTGCATTGAATATTGCTGCCATATCTGGTCTGGTGTTCCTGATGTACATCTCAAGATTCTTGACAAAATCCAAAGAAGATTCTGAAATATAATCGATCCTGATTTGGCATCTCGACTTCAGTCACTTTTTCACCGAAATGATGTGGCTTTCTCTTTACTACAAATATTTATAAATCTACCATTTGTCCATGCATTGAATATCTGCTATATCCAATGTTACAACAAAAACATCTCGAGATTCTTGACATAATCCAATGAAGTATCTGTAATGTAATGGATCCTGTCTTGTGATCTCGACTTCAGTCACTTTTTCACCGTCGTGAAATGGCTCCCCTCTGTCTTTTCTACTAATATTTTCATGGCAACTGATCTGACCAGTTTTTTTTCCTATGTTCCCCGACTACATGAACTTAAGCGTGCTACTAGATTGGCATCTAGATCCCACCCATTTACTGTTGAAATATCGAAATGCAGCCGCGACTTCTACACCAACATTTTCTTTTCTCGCACTTTCCATGGAACTCCCTTCTGATTTCTTGCTTCCCTGATAACTACAATCTTCAAAAATATAAATGCAACATCAATCGCCATTTTCTGTCTTCTTGAATCACGTTTATCTTTTGATATTTTTCCCTCAATCCTCCTTTCCCTGTAATCTCTATTGGTTTCACCTTAATAGATTGAAATAATTTGTAATATGCATATATAGCAATAAAAATAAAAATAGAAAATAAAACCTTTCTATCTCTGAGATTTATATATGACAAACAAATATTTTATTATTTGTTATCTAAAGAATATATATAAAAACGTTTTATATTCTGAAAAATATTATGATTACTTGCATTATATATATCATTGGAAAGTTAAATCATCTTCATTTGCTATATTCACAACGTTTGTCTATATCTCTGAATGATTATATTATGATTACTTTGCATAAATTTATATTATTTGACTATTATCCTCATCTTCATTTTTATATTCACAAATATTTCGGCCTCTATATCTCTGAGATGAGGTATTATTTTGATTACTTGCATTATTTATATTATTCGGACTGTTATAATCATCTTCAAAATATATTCACAACGTTTCGGCCTCTATATCTCTGAGATGAGGTATTATGATTACTTGCATTATTTATATTATTTGGACTGTTATCCTCATCTTCATTGCTATATTCACAACGTTTCGGCCTCTATATCTCTGAGATGATGATTACTTGCATTATATATATTGGACTGTTATCTCATTACATTTTTAAATCATTTACATTATTATTTTGATTACTTGTATTATTTATATTATCCTCATCTTCATTGCTATATTCACAACGTTTCGGCCTTTATATCTCTGAGATGAGGTATTATGATTACTTGCATTATTTACATTATTCGGACTGTTATCCTCATCTTCATTGCTATATTCACAACGTTTAACCCAATTATATCTTTGAGATGAGGTCTGAGATTACTTGCATTGAGGTGTTATCCTTATTCATTGCTATATTCACAACGTTTATTATTTACTGAGATTATTATTGGACTGCATTATTTATATTATTCGGACTGTTATCCTCATCTTCATTGCCATATTCACAACGTTTCGGCCTCTATATCTCTTGAGATGAGGTATTATGATTATTATGTTATTTGCATTTATTATTCGGACTGTTATCCTCATCTTCATTGCTATATTCACAACGTTTCGGCCTCTAGATCTCTGAGATGAGGTATTATGATTCATTATTTATATTATTTGGATGTTATCTCATCTTCATGCTATATTCACAACGTTTATGATTATCTGAGATGACCGTTTATTTGATTACTTTGCATATTTATTATTTGGACTGTTCATCTTCATTGCTATATTCTTCATTGCCATATTCACAACGTTCGGCCTCCCTATATCATTCTGAGATGAGGTATTATGATTACTTGCATTATTTATGCATTATTATTCGACTGTTATCCTCATCTTCATTGCTATATTCACAACGTTTCGGCCTCTATATCTCTGAGATGAGGTATTATGATTCTTGCATTATTTGAACCTGTTTCATCTTCATTGCTAAAACAACGTTTCTGTTATCTCTGAGATTCTTCATTACTGTTGCATTATTTATATTATTCACAACGTTTCCATTGCTATATTCACAACGTTTCGGCCTCTATATCTCTGAGATGAGGTATTATGATTACTTGCATTATTTATATTATTCGGACTGTTATCCTCATCTTCATTGCCATATTCACAACGTTTCGGCCTCTATATTCTGAGATGAGGTATTATGATTATTGCATTATTTTATATTATTCGGACTGTTATCCTCATCTTCATTGCTATATTCACAAATTTTCGGCCTCTATATCTCTGAGCCTTTTTATTATGATTATTTTTGCAATTATTTATATTATTTGGACTGTTATCCTCATCTTCATTGCTATATTCACAACGTTTCGACCTCTATATTCTGAGATGAGGTAATTATTCATTATTTATATTATTTGGCATCTTCATTATATTCACAACGTTTCTGATCTCTGGAGATGAGGTATTATGATTACTTGCATTATTTATATTATTCGGACTGTTATCCTCATCTTCATTGCTATATTCACAACGTTTCGGCCTCTATATCTCTGAGATGAGGTATTATGATTACTTGCATTATTTATATTATTTGGACTGTTATCCTCATCTTCATTGCTATATTCACAACGTTTCGGCCTCTATATCTCTGAGATGAGGTATTATGATTATTTGCATTATTTATATTATTTGGACTGTTATCCTCATCTTCATTGCTATATTCACAACGTTTCGACCTCTAGATCTCTGAGATGAGGTATTATGATTATTTACATTATTTACATTATTCGGACTGTTATCCCTCATCTTCATTGCTATATTCACAACGTTTAACCTCTATATCTCTGAGATGAGGTATTATGATTACTTGCATTATTTATATTATTTGGACTGTTATCCTCATCTTCATTGCCATATTCACAACGTTTCGGCCTCTAGATCTCTGAGTGTTTATTATGATTATTTGCATTATTTATATTATTTGGACTGTTATCCTCATCTTCATTGCTATATTCACAACGTTTTTTGACCTCTATATTCTGAGATGAGGTATTATGATTATTTGCATTATTTATATTATTTGGACTGTTATCCTCATCTTCATTTATATTCACAACGTTTCGGCCTCTAGATCTCTGAGATGATATATTACATATTATTTATATTATTTGCAAATTTAAAAGATTTTTCGGACTGTTATGATTTCATCTTCATTGATGGTATATTCACATATTTTTCGGATGAGGAATGAAAAAGGAGGAAAAAAAAGGAGATGAACGGAGAGAGAAGAGAGAGAAAGAAGAGAGAAAGAGAGAGATGGAGATACAATAAGGAAAGAGAAAGAAAGAATGACTGGGGAGGAAAAAACAAAAAGGGAGAGAATGAATTCTGAGAGAAAGAAAGGAATGAAAGAAAAAGAAAGAAAGAATGAGAGAGAAAGATATAGTGAGAGAGAGGGAAAGAAAGAAAGGGAGAGAGAGTGAGAGAGAGAGAGGAAAAGAAAGAAAGGAAGAGAAATTGAGTGGAGAGAGAAGTTGAGAGAAAGAAACGAAAAAGAATATACTAAGACGGTGTGGAATATAGGCGGCGTCTCTTCAGATTGGCGATCACGGATCTCCACAATTTCCTATCTTTTGTAACTCTTAATAAATGTTGTCTTTTTGTTATCTCTCCTAAACCCTGATCTGCCACCCATCCCTTTACACAAACTCTTCAGGTAGGTTATGCGTTTTTTTCATCTGCCCCTCTTGCCTTCAGTCTGTCCTGTGAGTATTAAATTTTCTAAACCATCTTTTCTCAAACTTGAGTCCCAGATTTTCTTCATCTTAATGCTTTCTGATTTTAATGTGCCAAAGTTGTCCTTATGTTTCCATGTTCTCTAAAACTTCATCGTTGCTTATATGTGCATGGTATTCTCATCATCCTTCGGTAGAACTACATTTCTGTTGTTTCGAGTGTCTTCATCTCTGAGGAGATTCTCTCCAGCATTCACTGCTATATAGGAGGACTGATATAACGTATTACGTAAGAGTTCAGTTCTTTAGCAACCATTATGATCTCTCCGTAAAATTGATATTATAATCGCATTATTAGAACTAACGAAAGACCCATTCGACAGCTTATTAGTTTCCGCTATTTTGTAAATATTAATCTACATAGGAAAACATGTGTTTCGCTGTTCGCATATAAGGTATGTATTGGTACATACTTTTGTTTGCATGTAGTGATAATATCTTTGTTGAACTGGCTGCATTTTATCTTCAACTTTTTTTTTTTTTTTATATGGAGTTGTGTGTTCTCCTGGCGTTGTTTTCATCTTCGTCGGCAGGTGCTGTGGTACATGCAAAGATAATGAATACAGCCTGAGGAGCAGAGGAAAACAGGCGAAAACAAACAAACAAACAAAACCCAGAAAAAAATTTTAACGAGCTAAACAAGTAAGAAAAATATGAAGAAAACATATGGCTGCTTTTTAATGATACATTTATCAAAAGAAAGAAAGAAGATACCTATAAAAATAGAATCCAATATAAAACGAAAAAAGAAACAGAATTCAGTTCATGAATTATAGAAGCATTGGTTTGTCATTTTAAAAGGTGCGTTTCGCGATAAAACATAATTATGGTATCTTTTCAGTAATTTTTTTTATAATACCCATTAAAATCGAAATACGACAGTTAATACTGAATAGTTCTTACGTGTCTCTATTTGTAATAATGCTGCAAAGTTCTCGGCCCAAATATATTCATACAAAATGTCTGTTTTGGCAAAAAGGAAATATACAAAAAAACTGCTTTTATAAGAATGTTTGCAATGTTCTCGGACCAAATAGAAAAATAAAAAACTGTTCTCCACCCGAATGCAAAAAATACAAAAACTGTTCTCTGCCCGAATTAAAAAAAATAAAAAATACAAAAATACAAAAAAAAAAATTGCTTTATATCTCTCCCAAAAAGTTCTGAGGACTAAATAAAAAAATATTGGAAAAACTGTTCTCCACCCGAATACAAAAATTACAAAAACTGTTCTCCGTGCGAGTACAAAAAAAAATACAAAAAAACTGCTTTATGAGCAGTGCTGCAATGTTATCGGCCCCAATACAAAAACACCAAAACTGTTCTCCAATCGAATACAAAAATTACAAAAACTGTTCTCGGTGCGAATACAAAAAAAAAATACAAAAAACTGCTTTATGAGCAGTGCTATAAATGTTATTTTTTAATAAAAAAAAAACCAAAACTGTTCTCCCGAATAAAAAAATTACAAAAACTGTTCTCGGTATGAATACAAAAAAAAAAAATTTTAAAAAAACTCAAAAAAATGAGCAGAATGCTGCAATTTTATCGGCCCCAATACAAAAATTAAACCAAAACTGTTCAAAAACCCAAATACTGTGTTTACAAAAACTGTTCTCGTTGCGAATACAAAAAAAAATACAAAAACTGCTTTATGAGCTAGTTTTCTTTTGTTATCGGTCCCAATGCAAAAACACCAAAACTATTTCTCCTAATGAATACAAAAAACTGCTTTATAAGAGATTTACAATTTTTTTCTGGACCAAATAGAAAAAATACAAAAACTGTTCTCCGCTCGAATACAAAAAACACAAAAACTGTTCTCGTCCAGAATACAAAAAATACAAAAACTGTTATCGGTCTGAATAAAAAAAATAAATAAATAAAAAACTAATAAGTAAACTATAAGTAGTGCTGCAATGTTCTCGGACCAAATAGAAAAAATACGAAAAAACTTAAAATTAAAATTAAATACAAAAACTGCTTTTCATAAGCATCAATCCTGAAAGTTTCTCGGTCCAAATACAAAAACAATTTGACATTTTCGGCCCGAATAAAAAAAATGTCAAAAAACTGTTCTCCGAATATACAAAAAACTGATTTAATAAACAAAATTAATTTTGCAAAGTTCTCGGAACAAATAGAAAAATACAAACGTTGAATTATAAAAACGAATACAAAAAATACAAAAACTGAAAAAAGTCTGAATCCCAAAATATATAAAAATGCTTTTCATATTTGGTGCTGAAATTTCTCGGACCAAATAGAAAAAATACAAAAACTTTTCTCCGCCCGAATACGAAAAATATTCTTGGTCCGAATACAAAAAAAAAAACTGCTTTATAAGCAGCGCTGCAATCTTCTCGACCCGAATACAAAAACTGTTCTCCCGAATACAAAAAAAAAACTACTGCAAAAAACTGCTAAATTTATGTTTGATCGTTTAAATACGATATTATTTAATTATTTTTTAAACCCCATTTCACCCCAGGCAAGATTATAAAGCCAGTAATATGCGGGATCATTACTGAGCATGAAAGAGTATAATAAAAACATTTATTAAGGGGGCAAGAACCATAAAAGAACAGAAATTAAGAAGACAGAAGATAACGGTTGACATCGCATTTAAATTTGTGAAGATCAAACTTGACTGGGAATCAAGAAGCCGAAAGAGATTTCTACAAGCAAGAAGTGCAATTGAAGAAATTGTTAGCATAGAACTTACGGTTGCATGTCGCCATTTCATCTGTAAAATGATGAAATCCTGCCACCAATCTAGTAATGCGTTTAAATTCATAGAATCTATGTAACATAGCGAAAACAATTATTAAAGGCACAGAGAAGATATTTTACGGCGGTGGGAAAGTGACAGGTTAGCACTAATAATATTGCAGATTCTTCTTTGGAAGGAATCAATAATCTCTAAATATATAGCAACAGACCATAGTTGCCCCTGCTTTCATTATTTCGCACGACCGTTGTGTCCTGTTAAATAAGAAATAGTTTGTTGCATGAATGTATTTATATAATGTTTCCATTTTTTTTATATATATATAAATACATACATACGACAAACTGTTTCTGATTTAACAGTTAAAATATTGTATAGCCGAAAGCGCACGGAAAAGAACTTTCGGACAGATTTTCTATAATTTATCATCTGAAAAGAAAAACATTATTAAATCACATGACAAATTGAGTAGAAAAAAAACTAAATCAAAAACCTTGTCTGTCGTATTCATTGAAATGTTAAAAAAGAAGGACAAAATAAATAACAAATATATATATATATATATATATATATATATATATATATATATATATATATATATTGATTTTTGCATGTTTCATATATTTCATAAGTTTTGTCTATTTATTTTAAGTGTTTTCCTTTCATATTGTCTGATAAACTTAAAAAATTATCATTGAAGGATGAAATTTTTCATGCAACAAAAACAGACTATCATTAGTCTTCCGTGTGTTGGTTGATATATTGAAAAGTAAATGTCATCTTTGATAATAACAAATCAAATGTGAAAGTTTAGATTGGATTTAAAATATGTATTAATATGGTGATTTTTTTCGTTTTTTAATGATAATGTTATTAATATTATTAGGCAATATGAAAGGAACTTATTAAAATAAATAGACAAAACTTGTCTATATTATTTAATGAAACATGCATCAATGAAAGATTGCTATATAAATATAAATATATATATATATATATTGGTATATATATATATATATATATATATATATATATATATATATATACTAGCAGTAGAGCCCGGCGTTGCCCGGGGATATAACAGTAAGAGATAGATCAAGTATCCACCATCATAAAGATTGAAAAATAAAATTGACAAAGATTATTGTTTAAGGTTGACGGACACGCATGTCTTAATTAGTTTTTTTTTTTTTTTTTTTACGAATTGGTCAAACCCAAACTCAAACAAAAACATTGTTTTCAATCGTTATGAGTCCACTGATTGAATAGAATTTTATTATAAACAATTGTCTTGTAAATGGAATTTTTAAAGCATTCTGAATGTAAAAAAAAAAAAAGTGTGCAAGACAATAAGAAACACTACATACCAAAAAAAAAAAAAAAAGTGAAGTTTTTTGTTGAAATCGGTTGAAAAATGTAGGTAGCCTTTCTGTAATCTTTTAGTTTTACAATTTATGATTTTTACTTATTGAATACAGTAAAAAAAAATTGCATATTTTGCTTGTGGTGATTCATAATTAGAATTCTGATTTGAATATATTTTCCACTCGTTGTTTCTAATACAAAAAATATTAACTTTATTTGGGTTTATTAATTATGATCTAACAAATCTTATTCATTTAGTAGCCTTTCTGTAATAATAATCTTTTTACAATTTATGATTTTTACTTATTGAATACAGTAAAAAATTGGACACCATGTGTATTTAAAGTAGTTTCCCGTTCCGGTTATTATTTTTTTAGTTAGGACTTGTGTATGTTTAGATTTCATTATCTTTCCCTAAAGATAAAGAATTTATCCGATGTTTGTATTCGTACAATCAGTAGAGATCGTTAGATTATTGTTTAAGGTTGACGGACACGCATGTCTTAATTTTTTTTTTTTTTTTTTTTTTTACGAATTGGTCAAACCCAAACTCAAACAAAAACATTGTTTTCAATCGTTATGAGTCTCCTGATTGAATAGAATTTTATTATAAATAATTGTCTTGTAAATGGAATTTTTAAAGCATTCTGAATGTTAAAAATAAAGAAAAAAGTGTGCAAGAGAATAAGAAACACTACCTGCCAAAAAAAAAAAAAAAAGTGAAGTTTTGTTTTATCGGCTGAAAAATATAGGAAATCCGCTCCCATATTTAAAGGAACCCACACACACAAACAACCCGATGTGAGTTGTCCCCCTTCCATTTTCACGATGTCTCTTAATCGTGTTTTCAAATTGATTTTGTGCAAAAACAATTATATTTTTCCCATTTTTGGCGCTGTTAGAACCACCACAAGGTAATTTTATGTAGTCCTGTGAAGTTTTGTTGAAATCGGTTGAAAAATGTAGGAAATCCGATCCAATATATAAACGTTACAGACACACACACACACACAATCTGCGTTTTGTTTATATTAATAATATATATATATATATATAAATATATATATATATATATATATATGATATATTTCCGTGAATGAAGACTATGGTTTGGATGGAAAAAGCTCATAACATTGTGGACTGGTTCTACAGAATCGCAAACCAAGAACTATACCAAATAACAGAAACCACATCACTTGAGGACTACCAACAGCTGCAACAACTAAAATGGATAGCACATGGAACTCAAAGAGAAAATAATGGCATAATGAAGATGTTAATGTTCCACTCTACTTCAGATAATAAAGTTAAGGAGGAAAACCCCCATTAATACTGAAAGAACAATAACATCTATTGAACTTGAGAAACCTATATAAGAAAAAGATTCTACAGAAAGGATATTGTGTAACCATACAAAGAGGGTATAGTTTAGGAACTGCTCTCTGTAGAATAACATATACAGAAATATGGCTGCCACAAGAAAGTCTTTTTGTATTTGTAAAAGCTGCCGCCTCTTTTTTAATTTGACTTGACTACCATTTTTCCAGGTCCATTTTCCTGTAGTAAAACAACTTGAATGAAACAGTTGACTAAATAAAATAAGCCAAGCTGATTAAAATGGTGATGCAATCACATCACAGTATTTTGACAAGTACAATTCAGGCCTTGTTGAACAATCAGATCTCCATAATTGAACTATTTTTACTAACTGTACCAAATAACAGAAACCACATCACTTGAGGACTACCAACAGCTACAACCACTAAAATGGATAGCACATGTAACTCGAAAAGAAAATAAGGACATAATCAAGATGTTAAAATTGTACACCACCTGTAATAAAATATTAGACAGGAGACCACTGTCAATACTGGAAAGAAATATAACAGCTACTAGACTGGTGTAACATGTTTTCTTGAAAGCGAAAGACTTATAAATTTCAAACTATAGCAGGACCTGCTATTCCAAGAGTGAATGCCAACTGTTTCTTTGCGTTGAAATGGCTAGTATTACCATCACCATATATGGAGATTATGTGTTTTTTTTTTAAGAGCATATCACTCCAAGCAAGGTGGGAGTACCATTAGCACGTAAGGGGTTACAGAGAGTGACAGCATGTTTGAGGAAAGGATATAGAGAAGGACGGAGAACAGGATCACGGCATGAGAAGATGTCGATTGACATTACACTTGGATATTTGAAGATTACAGCTATCAGGGAAGCAAGTAATAGGAAGAGAGAAAGAAAAAAGAGAATGAAAAACAGAAAGCGAAAGGAACAGAGAGGTTGAAAGCGAAAGAAATCTATAAGTGAAAGAATAGAGAGAAGTGAAACAAATAACGATAGGAAGAAAGAATAAAATGGAAAGAAAGAGAGAGTGAGATAGAGAGATAGTTTTAGAAAAGGAAAGAAATATTTGAGAGATTAAAAATCAAAAGAAAAATCAAATTTAAAAAGAAAGATAGATAAATATATAGATAGAAAGAGTTTAACAGATTGATAAAGATAGGTGATAAAGACTGGATTTTAGATCGATAGATAGATAGATAGATAGATAGATAGACAAACAGACATACATTTTAGATAGAAAAAGCATATATAGTTAGATAAATAGACATAGATAGAAATATATATATATATATATATATATATATATATATATATATATATATATATGAACATAAAACAAAATAAATTATATAATTTATACCAAAAAAAATAATCACATAGAATCAATCAGCAATACAGTTTTGCTATTATTGGCGAATCCATTGATTGTGTTTATTTCTAAAATGTGATATATATATATATATATATATATATATATCAATATACAAAAAAAGAAAAGAGACAACTTGCAAATGTTTTGGTTGTAATTTGGATTTTTTTTTAATTCACATTACAAAAAAAAATTATGCGGCACCTGATTTTAAATAACATTTTTTTAATATACACACTTTTCTCTCGTTGGAACCACTGTAACATCTTATTTTATATATATATATATATATATATATATATATATATATATATATATATTATATATATATATATTTCACAAAAATTTTGCCACTAGTACGCAAGGGGCAGAGGGTTTGGGAACATGAAAAAAAGGCGTGTTTGAACTGATGATGAAAGGAAAAGAAAAGAACGGGGAACAAGATGATGGCATTAGAAGATGTCAATTGACATTACACATGAATGTTTGATTATTATAGCTATCAGGGAAGCTTTAATAGGAAGGAGTTCCACTGTTTGAAGTGTGAGAGAAGAAGCTGTTGGTGTAGAAGAGATCTATGACATTTGAAAATTTTTCGATATATTTTATGGGACTGTATATAACCTAATAGCACGTTTAATTTCAGGTATTTTGAATGTAGCTTTCAGAGAAGTTGCCAACTTTTGTTTTTAGAACAAACAGAGGGAAGTCACAGCACGTCGACGAGATGCCAGATCAGAACCTATCATATTGCATATCTCTCTCTGGATATTTAATTGTGTGTTTGGAGATGAACAATTTGCCATCAGACCATATATGGCAACAGTATTTAATGTAAGGACGAATGGTTGATTTGTAGATTTGAAGGATCGACTCAGACGAGAAATTTTTCAACGCGACACAGGGAACCAACTTATTGAATTTGGGCCAAAATCCATATAAGAAGGCCAAATGATATATAACATAATAAATAAAGTTTTTAAAATATTCTTGATTGCTTATATATATATACACACACATATAAAAATATATATATATATATATATATATATATATATATATAGATAGATAGATAGATAGATAAATAACTTTCCAATTTATTTTTGAGAGATATTATTTGTATATTAAATATATATTTAGATTTATAAAATAATTTTACAATAATTTTGCTTCCATAAGAAAATCAGTTTTAGACAACACTGTCATTCTAAGTACATCCAATTGTAAAAGACGTTCAAAATAGTGGAAGCAATTTATATAGGGCAACTTTGATTTATTTCAAATCATATCTGGATAAATGATCTAATATAAATGACAAGTTTTTAATTTTCCCTTAATTATATATATATATATATATATATATATATATATATATATATATATATATATATAAATATGTGTGTGTGTGTGTGTGTGTGAAAATATATAGAAAATAGGAAAGAACTCGTTAGGAAAATAATCCCAAGTGTTTTTTTATTTTTATTTAATTTAAAAAAAAAAAACAGTGCTCGATACAAAAGGAGAGCTTAAATATAATTATTTATTTAAAAATATGATTCCATAATGAATACATAAGAGTTCTCATGTTTCAAAACAAGATTGAAAACTTCAATATAATTATTTGAATTAAGTTTGAATTAAAGTACCAACATTCTGTTCCGTCTTCAAGCAAAATTTTTTTGAATAACTAATTAAAAAAATGAACGCGTTTTTATAAGCATATTCATTATTAAAATTAAAATTACTATGGTATTTAAAAAAGAAAGATTAAAAAAAAAAAGGGGGCGTAAGGACTAATAATTTGTATCAATATATTATATATATATATATATATATATATATATATATATATATATATAGATAAGAGAGCTTTGTGAGTGAGTGTGAAATAAAAAAAGTTCATGTAAAATTCAGAGTGTATCTGTAAAAGGTAGTAGGAATAGAGACAAAAAAGAACTCTATCAAGTCACACGTTTGCATTGACAATGTCCATCAGAGGAAAAAAAACGCGTAGTTAATATTTTGTAATTTTTCTTTTATTCATAAAAAACAAGTTGGCTCTTAGAACACAAGAACATTAAATTTGTTTGTCTATACATTTATTTTCAACACAAACACACACACATACACACACAATATACACAAAATATATATATATATATATATATAGATAGATATACAAATAGATACAATAGATAGATATATAGATAGATATTGTACATTTGGTAGTAAATATTTTTATATATATTTATTAAAAGATAGTGAAAACAATTATATAAGGCAGAAAGCCATGGTCACGATTTCACTTTCTTGAAAAGAAATTGAGAAAATAATGTTTAAGGATACCCCAACAAGGAATTACTACTTTTTTGATTCTTTTTTTACCAAAGATTTTAAATAACACAGAATACAGTTTCATTATAAAAACAGAAAAATATATCTAACATAGAACCCTTTAAAATAAAATTAAATAAAATTTTTCTGCGATAATTATCGCAGCGGAGTGTAAAAAATTAGAAAAATGAATAAAAATAATATATAAAATTTCCTGATACGAGATATGTAATTATTACAAATTTTCAGAGAGACCATAAAAGTAGAATTATGTGAAATCTTTCACCCTATCTTGGTAAAAAAGTCAACTACAGTTGTTTTATATGATGAAATCATGCATCGAATTAAAAAATTTATACCAATGCTTTCTGCAAACTTTACCATCGCTTGTGTAATGAGCAGGGTAGTCGACTGGATTTGAAAATTCGGGTTTTCAGAGCTGTTGTCCTTGTCATTTTTTACGGCTCAGTGTCGTGGACTCCATACAGGTACCATATACGCCAGCTAGATGTTTTCCATAAAAGCTGTCTGCGTGCAATCGGTGGAGTTAAACTTCAAGATAGGCCATCTAACGTAGACCTGTTTAACAGGTGTAATATTGGAGGAATCGAGAGTTTTCTTATACAGTCTCAGTTACGGTGGACTGGTCATGTCTTGGGAATGCCCGATGATAGGATACCCAAGATCCTAAGGTACAGCCAGTTAGATCAGGGCTACAGGAATATAGGACGCCCATGGCTAAAATAGAAAGACAAGCTGAATAGCAACTTGTCAGCAGTCAATATACCACATAACAGCCTAGAGCGCTTAGACTTGGATCGGGTAGAATGGAGATCAATGTGTTTTAGTGGACTCAGCAGTTTTCAAGCTGCTTGTCTGAATCATCTTCAAGAAGCGAGAGCAAGATCTAAAAAGTCATCTAGTCTAACAGTGATCACATCTTACAATCCTTACTCTTGCTCCATATGCGGTCTCCTTTGTAAATCACTAGCAGGTCTTAAGTGGCACTTAAGATTATCGCACAAAATTTCATAATTGAATCCATTAAGATGTCAGATCATCATCATCATCATATTATTATTATTATTATTATTATTATTATTATTATTATTATTATATAAAGTTTTTTCTTTTATGTGCCATTTTCCTTCAGGGCGGAGGCGATCATGGCTCTCAATTTCTTCCTATCCTTTGTAGATTCCAATAAGTTTTTGTCATTTTTGTTGTTTTTCTCAATAAATTGTTCTGCCATCCATTTTTGCTTAATTATTTGTTAAGTAAGTCACACGTTAAAAAAATTGAAAATCCTTCTATGAAAAATTAATAGAAATCAATTTTCCAAATTTTTTTTCCTCATTAAATGTATTCAAAGAAACTTCAGCTACCTAAAATGATGTATAAATATTTTATTTTTATTTGCATATATCTAAAAACCTCATCGTTACTCACATGTTCGAATTATTTTATTTAGTAATTCATTGCGGCTTGGATTCAGGAATCTGAGAATGAGTTCGAATTCAGTCGAATCCATTTCCTTCACATTTATATATTTAATACCATTGGGAAAAGTATGAATCTATATTTTTCTCCACCGTAGCTATAGGCATATATCAGGATAGACCTGGTTCTACAGCCTTGGATAACGAAAAGAAAAAAAGTGGCAACCTCCTGCAGTTTAAAATTTCCAATTCAATCATGTTTCGAAGAATAAATGATTACCTATATATTCATAAATTTTAAATGGTTAACATTGTTGAACTGATATTCATTTATTAAAAAATGATGAAAAGGAAAAGGTAGAAATTTTCACAAAAAATATCCCAGCAATGGGTAAATCACAGGACATATAGGTTCTATAGCCTTGGATGCAACTGGTCTAGTTAGAAAGAAATAGCAACCTATTTAAATTAAAATTATCGAAAGATATTCCATTTCAATGAAGCGTCTATTAAACGTATGGCACAACTGACCTTTATTATAATACATTACTACCCAATCCCATCTCAACTAATGCATGAAACTTAAAAAAAAAAATATTATTTTGAAAAACGGCAAACAATTAAATGAATCTTGTAATATAAAGTATTCTAAATAAAATATATATCAACACGGTAATTTTCTCTCTTTATTTAATAATGACAACAAAAAGCTTGTCCGTGAATATGAAAGAATCAAAGTTAATTGAAAATAATATCGACAAAACTTAAAAAATTATTCAATGAAACATGTCTCAATATATATATATATATATATATATCGTTATATTCACATTGAACATGAAGAAAAATTAATTATTTTTTAATAATATGTAGAAATCTTTTTTTACCTGAAGACGGTCGAGAGACCAGAAACACGTGTCGTAAAATTATATAAAACAAAGCATAATATTTTTTCTAAATAAATCCACATTTCAAAACCAAAAAACGTTTGCGGCACCTCATTCTCTTCTTTTTTTTAATATACATACTTTTCTCCCGTTGGAACCACTACAACATATTTCTTTAAATATATATATATATATATAT